GCGCATTTGGGTATGAAACGTCTATAGAAACTTACCAGGCCGTTGAACGTGCGTAATTGCTTGACGGTGGTCGGTTCTGGGTAATCCAGAATGGCCGCCACTTTGGTTCTAAGGGTTCTAAGTATTGATGACTCGGTGTGTAAACCGGTATGTCACATGTGATTTGTTCGTTCTTGGCTTTTCTAATTGCACGCTATGTCCTCTGAATCGTCTCAGTCTGGTAGGAAGGAAAATAAAGGATATTTCAAGTCCATAATCATTTCTAGATTTTATATGCATGAAGTGTATGTAGACACCACTTAGCCACTCTTTAGGCCAGACAATCAGAATTCCTAAGACTCTTTGATGTGCGAATGCATCTGTGTCTCCTGTTATTTCTTGTCAGATTTTCACATCATCAGCGTATATTAGCACTGGGGGCTAAACCATACTTGGGAGCTCATTTACACACGGTATGAAAACGTAGACGACCTAGAACAGAATCTTGCGATATTCCATTAAGTACTGGTCTCCAGATGAAGCACTTGGAATTTATTCTCACTTTCTGTCTACGACCTACTAGGAAATCTTTAAGCCATTTTAGATGAGTCCAGTCAGTGCCTAGATTTTGAAGCTCCGGGAGTAGTGTATTTGTTGGCATCTTGTGAGATGCTTTGCTGAATCTGTGTAGGCTACATCAACTGATTTCCCATTGTTTAGAACCTCTATCTACTGCTCCTTTGATAGAAAGAGACTTGTTGTGTAAGATAAATCTTTTGTGAAACCATGTTTTCTTCCGTTTAATAAGTTTTTAATTTCCACGAATGCCATTATTATCTTTTAGATCATTCTTGCCAGTATTTTAACTACGACACTGGGGAGACTAACAAGTCTGTAGTTCGGTGGAAGTTGTGTTGGTCTTAGTTTGTGTATTGGAGTGATAGTTGCATCATTCAGTCCGTAGGTATCTCACCTTGGTGATATGATTGAATATCGCAGTTAGTGAGGAAGGAATATATTGTGCAATTTGTCTCAAGATTTTGGGGTGTAGTTCATCCGGTTCTGTTGAATTTTCCTTGTATAAAATGCCAAAAGCCTAAAGTAAATTGTCCCTATCAAAGTCCACGATTAGCTGACGTTTTATTGACTTTTATATTTGGGTCTAGTTCTTCGTCTAGAAGAAACTCGTGGGTAAAATCTGTCCCGAAATAGTTTGTCATAGCCTCTGCTTTTTTGTGATCATTCTCTGTCACTTGAGATCCACTCTCTTCCGTAACTAGGTCGGGAATGTAATGCTGCACCGTTGCTCTGTAATTTATATGCGAGAATAGTCTCTTAAGCTGCTTGGTTACAAGACTGGGTTAATTGCATTTCATAGTCCCACTGAGCTTCCCGGATTTTAGTTATAACCTTATTTCTTACCGACCTGTAGTGTTCGGCACACTTGGTTTGCCAAGACTGATAGAAATGTTCCAACATTTCTTCTTTTGTCTTAGTAAACGTCGACTATCTCGGTCAATCCAAGGACGGCCGTGCCTCTTATCCTTTGGGACCGTTCAGGGCATATATGATTGAGTTACGTGGTTGCATAACTGCCCGAAATGAGTCCATGCCCCTGAGTCGAAGATCCATTTTTCGGCTGATGCTACAGAGTTAATTGCTTTCATGTCTGCCATCCATATGCTAGGACGAACGACGCAACTATTCGACAGACCATTTCAGCCATAGACTTGAGTAGTCTGACAGAATGATCACTTCACCACAGAAGTAGGAGGAAAGTCCCTTGACCAACATCATCACCGTGTGTGAAGATTAGGCTCAAGAGAGATGAGAAGTTTTGTAGTTCATATCTGGTGGGATCCCTAATATGCTGGAATGAAGCTAGGGCGATTGTGATTTCCAACAATTTCCAATCAAATGATATTGTTGATAACCCTACTTATAAGTTTCCCCAGTTTACATATGGTGAATTGAAGTAGCCTATTGTAAGGCTTTCAACCCCATTACACCGGGACTGATGTCTGTGTAGAAGGGAGTCATCTACCACAAATTATGGACTGAGGTTCACTACAACCAATTCAATAACTTACCACTTAAATTTCGGCCTGCGGTGTCCCAATTCACATGTCCCTGAGTCATGTGCACTGTCTCGACAGTTTGTATGGTTAAGGTACTTTTCGTGTGTGGTATAACCCCACTTCTCCTGAAATTTCATCTATCAGCTCCACTGGGAAGTACATCAATCAATTGAATTCTACTATTGCACACTTTCGACGTTGACTATATTTGGGAGATGGCAATGACATCAGAGTTTTCTATGTCTACCGCTGTCTTGAGCACCGCCATTTTATTTTCTAGGCTGCAGGCATTTGAATAGCACACCTTCAGTCCTGTGAAGGGCTTTCTTTTATCACTCAAATTGGTTTGAGGTCCATTTTGCTCTGAATTTGTACAATGAGAAGACCCTGAAGTAAAAGGTTTTTCTCACCGTTCGGGTGGAGCTCGTTTAGTTCTACATCTGTCGGCCGTCTCTCAATACGATCAACCGGCATGAGATCCTCATGGATATATATTGCGGGTCCAGTTAGTTTGCGCGAGTTTTCCAGCATTCGGTTTCTTTCTTCAACCAAAGTAGAGGTGACTGTTAAGAGGCAGCATTTCTACGTACTTACAGAATCCACTTTTTGTCCAATTCTATAAAGCTTACAGATGCTAACTGTTGATACTGCTTCTGGAAGTTGCTTGCCTATTAAGAACTTAATTGTGACTTAGGTCGTGTTGAGATCTAGCCTTTGGTTACTTTTCGGAAGATTCTCTTAACTTATGAAGGATGACTGGCCTGCCAGCTTAGTCCTGCCTATAATTTATTTTTTTTTGGATCAGGTTGTGGTTTATAAGTGTATAGTAATTTTGTTACTATAAGTAGTACTAGGAGATCCTGGGTGGAAACCTACTCAAATTTTGTTTTGTTCTTTCTAAATAAGATTGGTAAAAACTCAGGTTAAAGGTGGAACAAGTGATTTTAGATTAAAATTTTCAGTAAAATCCATCATAATACACGAAATCTTGCGGGATGTTGAGCTCTTTTGAGTTCCGACCTAGCAAAAGGGGCTACCGCCTTTTCACTTCGTGTTGGAAATTTGGCAACTTAGTTATTCTAACCTCAAAGAGTTCAGACGAGTTTTAAACGGTTTTTCGTGTACTGTCCCAAGTAGATATCCTACTTTGTGATGCTTAAGGTCGAATCATGGGTGGTAAATTGAGTTAAAAATAACCGAGTGAAATGAAACATCCTAATCATATATCCTATATCCCTTCATGTTGGGTTCACGACATTTGTGTTAAAATCTGACCAAGGTTAGTCTAGACCCATTTTAAGTGCGTTTGCTTTCTAGAACAATCCTTTTAGATAATCCGCTACACCTGATAACTAGATATTAAATTCTGATACTAAGTGTTTATGAGATAGATTTCGTTAACCGGGTCACAGCACTAAACAATTTCGAATCTATGTATGCACATTCTGGGAGTGATAATACACTTACCTGCGTTGAGAGATAATGATTAGATGTTCATTGCAAAAGAGTAATCAAGAAAATAAAACAGCCTTTCGTCACGACTGACACTTTTGTAGTAAGTGGTTGACTCGCACTAAACAATATACTGTTACATGATAACTTTATGAACAGTCGCCTTAGTAACCTCTTACCATTAACATTTGTCCTTTTTACAATTGAATTTCTCTCCTATCAGTTATTGTAAAGATGCCGCAGGTATTCGGAGTCTGATAACGCCTTTACACTTAAGAATCTTATAATCGAAGTATGCCAACCCAGTCAAATCAAAAGTCAGAAACGAAGACGTTTGAAGATATATTTGGAAGACCATCGATATGTCAGGAATGGTTTTGTCTGAGTTGGTCAACGATCGCAAGAGATGCGTATCATAGCGTACTCACTCGTGATCTGGTGTGGATGCATGACCTAGAGCCTTAGCTAGGTGTGTCCCAGTGAACTAATCAGGCCAGTATCAATGCCAAAGGCTTACAGAACTATTTGGTTTAGGGATTTATTCACCGCTACAGCTGCCTTTATTGTTTTCCTTCCTGATACGACACTTAAAGATCTTTGAGTTCAAGACTGTTCGATTTTGTCGTAACAAGAATCCCAGCATAGTTTATGCTTCTAACTTCGTATTTCTTCTCTGTTAACTCCAGTTTTCCATTCTCGATATGCAGTAGTTTACTGAAGTAGTCTACTTTTATTCTAATATCTTACAACGCCAAACTGATTGCCTGTCTAGTTTCTTGCAAGTAATGTTACACGATTTTAGTAAGACTGTGGTATACCTCAACTGTTGGAAATGTCAGTACTTTAAGAAACATAAATGAGAAGTTTTATTAGTTAGCTCATTATTACTCTGTCATTATCTTTTATTTTATTCTTAGTGGTCATATTTTGTAGTTAAATACGATCGTCATGAATCTTAGGCACTTAAACGACGTCCATCGCTAGGTGAAACTTTCTTAATTAACATTTATATATAACTGAAAATCTTTGAAAGACAACTAGATATGTTTTTCACTGATATTCCGTAATAAGCCGCGATAGTTTTAAACAAAACCTTAAAACTAGTTAATGAAATTATCTTCAATTAATTATGAGACATTATCAAAATAGTTTTCTTTAGAATCCTTAATAGACTATGTATATCATTTCTTCACTAAAAAAATGAGTAAATATATTGATCCATAGTGATAAATCTTTTATTTTTAAAAAAATCATACAACAACAACAAAAGCAGGGATTTTTTTCGGTTAAACTTCTGTTGAGCACAAATTATACAGGCTAGTCTTGGTGCCGGTATTTTTTTCCATGGTTTCCTCTTGTTGAAAAATTAAAGTAAACTACCCAGCAACTATATTACTCTTTTATTTAATATAAATAGTATTAACTTGAGAAAGTGAAACCATTGAAACTTTAAAACTGTTTGCAATAAGTAAACTATAAGAAATAGATGAATTACAATTATTATGAAATTTATTAGTACTTTATGAAAACATTCATACATATCTGATCATTAAAAAAGAATACATTGAATAAATAAATACATTTAGTTAAGAAGAAGTCAGTAAAGGCAAACAATTAAATAACAAATACATCATACGTAAAGAAAGTGAAAAGTAAAAAAAAAAGAGAAAGAAGTACATTTCAATTCAATTTAAATAATATCAAATATTATTTTTGTTTCGATTTTCAATTTTTAAAACAAAAAACGAATTGTTTCCATATTAAAATAAAATATTTAGAAGAAAATAAAAAATAGGATAATTTCATGAGTATATATATCAGTCAGTCAGTCAGTCAGTCAACAACGTAGAACTTTGTACGTACATACATCAGTTCAAGTTGCCATATCACATTAAGACAAAGCTACAGTTTTGGATGTAAATCCCATAATGGTAATAATAATAATAATAATAATAATGAAAAAATTATTGTTCATTAAAATATCAACACTTTTCAGTAGTAAGAAATAAACTTATAATGATTAATCAAAATGTTAAATGTTGAATATTTAATAGAATTTTATGTTTACAATATCATTAGATACAGATTACTATTCATTTTTGATTTATACATAATACAGCAAAATAAGAAATCAGTATTTGAGTTATAATTTTAAAAAAAGTCTCTGGGGTTTCTTTCTTTCTTTCATAAAATGGCAACACCTTCGAAGTAATACATGTTTTATTTTTTGTGGTTGAGATTAGTGTATTTACTTTGAATAAAAATTGTTCTCCACAGAACATAAGTAAAAATATTTATGAAACGCAAATATGGTATGTGTTCATAGGATGTAAGTGATTTCCAATCAAATAAGTATTTCTATTCATTGTCCAGTAATAAATAATAAAAAAAAAACACATTTAGATACATTTAACCATACCAATTTCTGTACCACAGAATGGACATTCATGTTTAACATCTTTACAACAATTTGTAAAGAATGGTATCAGAAAACAGCCTAGAACGCCACTGTTATATTCAATGATTATTGAAATAAGAGAAGGTAAAAAGAGGAATATTTAATGTTATTGAATGATATATTTGTTAACTAAAACTTATATCAGCTGATATCATAAGAATAAACATTATGTAATATCTAAATGGATAAGATTTGACTACGTTCTTGATTAATTATCAAGAAAAATCAAAACATTTTGAAGAACTGTCATGGTATATAAGTAACTACTATGTCTAACAAAGTCTTAATTAGTTAGCATTTCATAAATGACTGGTTGCTAAAACATCTGAACCATTAAATATAGATCTATTGTTATACAAATTCCTATTTTAGATATTTTTCAATTGACTAATTGTGCCTGTCAGCCGGAAAAACTTAATAACCTTCATAAAATTCTAGTAGGCTATAGCAGATACAATTACTGAGGAAATTTAAAAGAATGAAAGAGATGGTTTGTACATTTAACACCTATAATATATGAGAAAACGACAGGCGATTACTATGAAATTCATTCATCAAATATTTATTACAATAGAAAATAATGTTACGGAAACATAATCATTCTTAAACATTTGTGAGTGAGTGACTATGAATGATTAGAAACTTTTTATGCTCTCTTTTTGCATATATATATAAGTTGAATAATTAAAAACGGGAATATTGTTAAAATATTTCATATATTTTGCCAAGAACTCTCTATTTTAAGTAAATATATCGTATTGAATAAAGTGGTTATCATTTTGTTTAATACAGTTAGTAACATCTCTAGTTCCTAATATCTGTGATGATTGAAGATCAAAAGATTAGCCGATTAACAAATTTTTTGTTTTGTACAATATTCCCATCACATTTAATGTTGTTACTTTTCAGAAGACAAAGTAAAGCCATTTAAGGCATCACTAGAAGTCGATCTCAAATAAAAGTAATCCAACTTTTTGTTTTCTCTAGTTAGTACTCTCATTTTATCAGATCATGCAAGAAATTTTATGTAATCAATATTATTTGTGTTTAAGTTACAACATCTAACTTAATAATATTGTCAGTATATAATGGAGTATCACACACGAGCTTGCAACTCAATGGAAGTGAGGCTGGGGAAAAGTTATCAACGACGTCGTTCATTATTTTTAAGGGTTCGTCTGTTTCTGTCATAGGTATTTAAGACCGAATTTCGATCATCCTCTGTTGATATATATGGTTTTCCAGTGGATATTTTGATACCGACTGTAGATTTTAATTTTAAATTTTTAGGGTGTAGCTAAAGATGGAAATCAGGTTTCGCCTTTCGTTCTATTTGGAAGTAATCAGGTGCATGTACTTGGATCTTAATTTTAATGTTTAGACTGAGATTTGAATGCAGTGCCTATAGCTTTAACCATTACGTACATATACACAGATAAGAAATAAAGGTAGTTAATTAAAGAAACTTTTCTTCAGAATATCATACAACTAAGTTGCATAATCACATTTATAGTTAGTTAGAATTTATAAGTCGATAATAAAAAGAGAAATTAGGCATTATGTAAAGGGTGATCGAACAGATTTTCAATTATCAAAACGAATGACTTAGATTACGGAATAGATCACACATAGGAGTTGATTGTTAACTTAAAGAATATTCAGAAATTAATTGAACTGTTGTTTGGGATTACAAATTATAAGGAAATATATAACGACGTAATGACTAATGGGAAGAAATTTTTCTAGATTTTTTTCAGAAAAGCGATGAATATTTACTGGGTGAATACGGAGATTATAATAACTAAATGTTGTTACAATAGCTAACTAATAATTTTAAATAATTAATGAAGGAATACTAACAATAGAATAATGAAAATGAAAGATAGGAAGGGAGTTTAAAACCACGGTAAGATAAGAGATGAAACGTCGTTTTACATCCAGAGATTAGGCTGGAATGAGTGAATTGCAAATGCCTCTGCTGTACACGAGCTCCTAACCCTTTTGAACCACTCTTTCTAACTTTGTGACTAACTTTAAAGGATGGTTTTGGTAGGGCGACGTACACGGTGTTCACGAGATGACTAAGAATTGGGATACTGGCCGACTTTTTTGAATCCTGTCGATAACCAAGTCGGATAATGCTGGAAGATGAGTTTCGAAGGAGCTCGATTGTGCTCTCTCTTTATCAAATATATCTTGATGATTTTTTTTCATTAGGCATTAGGTCGTTATATAAATCCCTTCATATGGTTTATAATTTCAGATAATTCTCATATATAATGTATTTGGCCATCTAAATAATTTGTTTTGATACTTGAAAATCTATTCAATCACATTTTACATAATGCTATAATTTTCTATTTTATTGTCGACTTATGAATTCTACCTAACTATAAATGTGATTATGAAGCTTAGTTGAATGATATCATTGTGAAAAAAAGTTTCTTCACTTAAGCGTCTTTCTTTCTTATTCGATCATCCAATATGTTTCTTTCATTATACACACAGATCACGAATATCAGAAATAGAAAAACACAAGATTTTAGAAGTAATAGATATTGTATTCGTTGGAGAATTTAGTGACTATCTGGTTTCATTAGATCAATGGTTAGTGTATTAGTGTTTTAAATGATAAGTACTGGGGTTGAGTCACCTCCTGAACACCAACTCTAGGTTCCAGGTATATCCAATTCATGAATTATAAACATGACGAAACCTATGTCATTAATTCTTCATTCACTCATAATCGATAATGTTAATTTTCATTCACATTTGTTCATTCATCGCTCTTAGTAATTTTCAAAATTGAAGGAGTTTTACTAGTAAACATACTGAATTGATATTCATTCATAAAACTGAAAATCTATGAAACGTTTTTAAATGCGAGATTTTTAGAGAGACTAAAATTACTAATTTTTAGCCAAAATGCGATGAAATTCGTAGAAACTAGGGAATCATGTTTCATGATCAAGTATGCAGTGATCAACTGACATCTTATATGTTTAAAAGGTATAATAATTTACGCACATGTGAGAAATAACAATAATTTCAAAAGCCTAACATTGAAAATTCATACATACATATAGATTTGTACAGTGTTTAGATTAACTTGTTTGTCTGACGCTGACATCATTGATATTGAATTATTAATACGTCTCACTAATAAATTTTTCTACAGAGAAAATTCAGTATCATAAACAGTATTCGTTTAAACTGTGGATTTTCTTTGTTAGATAAGTTAATTAATGATACTTTAGACTTAAATCTTACAATATACTGGAGTTGGACATTGACACCGTTGGATGCCGGCTCAGTAGTCTCAAGGTTAAGCATTCACGCACGAGACTGATAATTCCTGAGTCTGAATCTCGTGAGACAGGATCGTAGATGTGCACTACTGAGGAGCCCCATATTAGGATGAAACGGCCGTCCAGTGCTTCCAGGTTTTCCATGGTGATCTGGCTTCAAATGACTCATGAATTCAATTAGTAAATTACTACAATCTTCACAAAACCTCTCTCTGATTATATACTGATTTATTCAATATTTAGTAAAAATTAATACAGAAAAAAAAACAGATTGAAGTAACAAATATTTTTGTTCAAGTTTCATTGAGTTCTGTTTGTACATGCAGTTTGTTTAGTATCACACAATAAAATATTGATTAGATACACTTGATTATTCAACTATCATTCAATTTCAAATACTAACTTTGTTCATTCAACATACTAGTGTTTTACTATCTATATTTTCATTGTACAATTCGACTGAAATAAATATATTGATGTAATATTACTCTTGATCATTTCTAAAATGTTTATGAAGACAGATTATTTTGTGTTGTTTTTCTTTTCACTTACAAATGACCAATTGTAAAAATTGGAATTCTCTTGTAATTCCCATTCAATATTATCATTCAATCACTGGTTTATTATCCACTTGGTTGACTGTAGAGGTTATGACCAACAACTGAAACTATGAAATCCACCCTATAAGCAATGACTAGCGTGGTTTTATAAATTTTTAAAGTGAATTTGTTCTGAAATATACACCATTTAGTATTCACTCAGTCGTGTTATAATATTCCTGAATTCACCGTAAGATATGAAGATCATTGTATGATCTTCACAATGCACTGATGAGTAGTCGCAAACAAGAACAAAACAGATATCAAATACTTGCTGATTTTCAGTGGATATTTAGTTGTTATTGATCCTTTATGAAAATCCCTACGAAATATAACAACAATTTTGTGCAAAACTACCTTATTTATTCAGAATGATTTAGGAATACCTATGTTATTGGTGATTTTGTGTTGTGTAAAATAGGTGACATCATTGTAAATCTCTTATTATCTTCATAGGTAGGAAAGTGAAAAAAAAATCCATATATTCAATAAGACGTTTTAGATGAACAAAGATCCTTGAAGCTTTCAAAATAAAGTAAGCTAATACTTATTTAATAGATGATTTTTAAAAAAACCTAAAATTTTTGAATAAGTATTCATTTCCAACTTAGTAACTGTTACAAATTTCATTTAGCATTCAGTCAGTCAGTCAGCTACAACGTAGGACCAGGCACATATATGCATTGGTCCAAGTTGCCATACCTCATTAACACAACAAGATGAACACCGGGATTCATAAAAGTAGTTAATTCAAAGGTGGCAATATATAAAAGAAAGATTGCATATAAGGATATAGTACAGGAAGAAAGAATTAATTCGTAGAAAGAAAGATATGAAGCGATTTCAATCTCTTAGTGCTTTTTTTATTTTTGGATAAGAATGAATAACAATAATATGAAATGCACTGTAACTATATTTAATTAATTCATTGAAATGATCGTTAGATTTCGCCCAAATGCACTTTATATTAAGAAGAAAAAAACTATTCCTGTTATGGGTCATGTTAACTATGTCAGATCAATACATTCATTAAATATAATCCTATTTAAAATTCTTTTAATTATTATTATTTGTCTGATGAATCATTTAATGACATTTTGTTTGGTGGTTTTTATTGTTTGTTTTAAATAATTAAAAAAAATAATTTATATACAACTTACCCACATAGAAAAATTAACACTGCCATAAGCCATGTTAAAACACCAACATGATATGTTATTCTGGTCACAGTAACATGTTGACAACAATCACATTGGAAAGATTTTGGTAGACGATTAAGTTTTTTAGTATGTTCTATATCTGATTCAAAACCTATTAATAAAATAAGAAATGAAAAAATTTTTTTCTTAAAATACATATTATCTATTCCATAATGATTTGAGTATAACAATCTTAATCTTAATAATAATAATGATTATTATGATTATTAATGGCTTTATTCAATATTATATTTTGGTACAATATAGAAATTCTCAGCACAGGGTATCTCAACAAGTTTCTTACACACAAAAAACAGTAACAAAGACAAGAAAAGGAATAAAAATGTTTAAAAAAAAACGAGAAATTGTACAACTTTACAAATTAGAGACATGTTAAGAATCCAGGTTATTGACTTGGTTAACTCTAACAGCCTGTTCGTCACAGAGTATATTTGCTAGGTAAGGTATTATAGAACTTTTACACTTCTGCTTGCGTGTATGGATTTTAATGTAATTACGTCTCGTTCTACCAGGAGATATACAAGGAGAAAGATAAGAGTGAAGGGGATGGTTAGTATCTGATAAAATAACACCTGCCAGGAGTTTGCATGATTTCAAATGTGTATCCACAACCATATTAATTATGACTTCGAAAGATTCACCACACATCTTGCTAACTGCCTTCAACACTCTCAGCAATACAGCAAAGTCTTTTCTCAAAAGCCCGTGAAAGAATAATACAAAACAGTAAAGAATAATAGGTAATATGCAAGAATTGACAAACTGTAAGAGTAAATGACGAGTAATCCCAAGAGCATACAATCTCTTTATGTAGTAAGTCAGACGGAAAACCTTCTTCGATAACAATAAAACGTGGGAAGATCAAGAGAGATCAGAGGAAAAGGTAACACCAAGATAATTGACCTTCGACACTGTGTTTATCATTGAGTCTCCAATGGCACAAACATTATGAAATTTCAAAATGATGTTTAGATGCCGTTCATGTCTAATAATAATCTTAACAAAATAATAACAATAATAATACTTCTAATAAATGTTTATGTACTCTAAGTGTGATTGTTACCTTTTTCTTATTTATATTTTTTTGGCACAAGATATTGTCATTAAAAAAAGTTTTATTTAATTTAACAGAAATAAATAAATAAAACGTTTCTATGTGAATACATCGTTGAAATTTAGTTAAAATAAGAATAATAAAGAAAGATTAGTTATTTATTATTTTAGACTGTTTATTAATGATCTAATATGATCTAAATGACAAGTAGTTTTGAATGTTTTATGGATTCTTTCATATATGATTTTCATTGTAAGTATTATTGTATAACGAATACATATTTTAAATTAATATTTAACCAAGATAACTGACATTTTGTGTTTTACTTAGAAGATTTATATGATAGAATTTATTAAGTTACTTATTAACAATACTGTTTAAAGATTGAATTGTTTACTTCAATGAATTATTTATTTAATTTATCATTGTTAAAATAAGTATGATATTCTATTGATTGTAGTTTAAGCTTAGTTATAGGGCTTAGTGTTTTAAATTGGTATACTTTAATAGATTTTTAAAATGATTAAAGATAGTTTTATGCATTAAAACTAAGAAATAGATTGTAAGATACTGTTATATCAATGCAGTCAATTTAGCGGTTATAATTTAAACATAGAAGATATTATTCAATTAGAGTTAATAATTATATCAAATGACATTTCCTTCTGTTCAATAAGTGATTAGTTTGTTGATTTTTTATTCCTAAAGAATATCAAATTCAATACACTCAATTTATAGGTAGTAATTATCGTTGAGTTCTTGTTTGATCTTTTAGAGTGATTCATTTTTCTTAAGTTTAACTGTAAGATTGATTAGCGATTAACAAAAGTGTGCAAAAATAAAAATCTAGGGTCTCTTCCAACTGCCTTTAATTACATAACATCAAGAATATCATTCATTCTGTAATAATATTTATCAACGAAATTCGTTTTCTTAATACTTATATATTAGTGACTTTTTATTAAGTTAGTTGCTTTGCAATATTCGTCAGTTAATAAGTTTATTTAATAATTCCATTTTGAATACAATTAATTCAAAACTACGTATCATGCTAAATTACCATAATAAAATATCCTTCAATGTTTACAATATTATTTTTAATCATAGAACATAGATTTTTATGAAACTTTCACACAGCTTACCTTTGCTTATAGATGCTCTGGGTGTTACTTGAGGTGTAACAAAAGTTTTTGTCAAAGGTGATGGTGTAGCTGCAAAAAATAAGTTACAAATAATGTATTTAGTAGAAATTATTTCTTCAAATTGTAGTTATTGCGAAATTCAAATGGGAAGAATTTATGTATTTAGAAATATCTAGATTACATTATTTCAAAGGGTATTTATTAATATACATAATTATGCATAATAAACATGGAATATGATGATAGAAACCAATGAATTATCTAACATTTATCAAATAATTAATAGTAACAGGTTTGTAGTTAATTAAATATCAAGTATTGATGGATATAATGTCGTTTAGCGTTCAACTAAGTGAACAGCTAAGTTAAAATTATTCTATAATAAGTAAAACTTATAAAATGAAAAAATAATACAGATTAGTTTTGCATATCAAACTTAATAGGATGAGGATCTCCATTTAATAGTGATAGCTATACGATAAACAGTGAAACAAATTAAATGTAGCATAACAAGAATCAAAGTAAATAATTTGGGATAGTGGTTGACCTTGGGATGCAAAGCATGTGCTTTAAACGTAAGCTATAATAACCTTATAACTATAAATAATTATCTGAGCTATTCATTCAAGCAGAGCATATATTTATACAGAGTTTACAGATCTAACTCATAATATTAACAACTGTAGAATATGAATTATTACAACAAACAAAAGCAATTAGTTTAATTTACATCTCGTCAAATTTTAAATGTTTAACAAAACTACTTACGTTTTGCAATAGAAGGTTGTTCAGATTTAATTGCTTGGTTTTGTTGAATTTGAGCCTGAACACTCAGTGGGACTATAAAAACAATACAAAAGTATAAAGATACTACTTTGTATAACTTAATTTTTATTCACTAATATGAATCTTTTTAAATATACAGTCAAATTATAAAAATGAAACTCTTAATTAGTTAGGAATGATTTTCAATTTCTTCATCTGCAAGAATTTCACATCTTCATTTATTGTCATATGGATTTGGAAAAAAAAATGTATTTTAATCTAATACACAATAATATCTTTTTTGGAGCACTCTTGGCTTTGTGTAGTAAGTAGAGAGTGATTAGTGTAATGCTTGTTTATTTCTGTCGAAAATTGCACTATTTAAAAGCACTGGAAATAATTCAAGTAAACATTATCGACAAATTAAATCATAACAAAATAATTTTTAAAGCCTATATGAATATATGTTACAATGAACACGAAAAGTTCAGTGATTTAATCAAAACAAAATTGAAAAATGTAAACAGTTAAGTGAACGAGAGACATATACATATCTGTATAAGGTGTATTTGAAAATTCACCAAAATGGTATTGTTAAAACATCAAGTGTTAAAAGTAGTCAATGGATTAAATGTGAATGACAGTAAGCTATCACTAAAAGTTAAAAGCAAATAACTGGTAATAAAATTTACATGAATAGCAAGAATTATTCCGTGAATAATGAAACGTGTTTCTTTTACTGATTTTCATTTTACTTTAAATGAAGTAACAGTGCTTTTATACATTTTGTATTTTTAAAGTTAATTGAGTCAAAGTTAGATTTATTTCCTCTACATCCTTTGAAGAAAAGTTACACCTACTTCAAAATAATTGGTTAACAAAGAGAAAAGTATAACTACATTCTGTGAATATATATGTATATAGCAAGTAGGTAGTAAACAACTAATACATACTGGGAAGTTGATTTTCCTTAGTTTCCTATCACAAGCTAACACAGAGTCAAATATAAAGCATTCAAGTCTTGCGTAAAACATGGGATCGTAAAGTAACTCTGCCAGAATTTATTTGTCTAGGTCATTTCGATGCAGTGCAAACGTCTTTCGACATCAATGGGCTGCATTAGAGTTGTAGGATTTGATAGGTCATGACTTCTGTTCAAAACCTTGAGGAATCCATCTCAAAGCAAGTTATCAATAGTCAGACGTTTATTAACGACCCTTTTAGTTTTGGTAGACCTCCCTGAAATCAGTTTTTAATGAAAAGAACCTTCAGTTCAAACGAAACTTTCCGAAAAACTATTCACTTTATTCATGAGTACACAAGTCTGACTCAAGGTAATTATAAATATTTTCTATCATGCATAAATGATTTTTAATTTATGTATACTATCAAAGTCATATTTTAACGTTTTAATATAATTGGAAACATAATTCTACTAGTTACCAGTCAAGTCAAAAGTGAAAGTGTATGCCTGTTTGTATGTGATTGTGTGAGACTGAGAGAGAAAATTAATTATTAGACAAATCAAGCCGTTAATTCAATTCATGTGTTCTGTTCAAAATGAAAGTGTTTCTTCACAACACTATTTTGTTAGTAATTTTAATATTGCACATACTGATTTATATTAATAAATTATTATTAAATTATTACTGTTTCTACAGTAGTACGTCATCTAATCATACTAATGGTAGTGTAGTGAGCAGAACACCAGTGGGGACAATAAAATGTATTTAACACGAAATTACAGGATTTGTTAATAAAATCTAACAATCATAAAGTAAATGCTTAATTTGCAAAATGTCCATCAATTGTCTCAAAATCACTCAAACTTCATTGTCTTTGAATTTTCATACAAATTGCATTCTGTTTCCATTCCTTACTGTCCGATTCTTTTGTCTCTCTGCTGCCAGACCTTCTGTTCACGACTAACCTCATATACTACTTATGTCAATATAAGTAGCACACACCGCAGTAGTGTATCATACACAAAAGTCTGATATATTTTCTATATACATAGTTATTAAGTTAGTTATTAATGAAAATAATTGTTAAATTTTTCATTATTCGACTTAGATTTGTGATTATATTCTATATGTTTCATTTGTATAATCTACTTTATAGCCTGAATCATTGACTAGATTGATGTTGTTGAGAATATGAGAACAAACAACGTAAATAATTTGACCGAACTAAAATATTTTTTTGACTTTTTACAATTTTAAAAGCTTAATTTTAAGTGAACTGATGCATGATAACCGAAAAATCTGTACTTGTACACTATTCTTCAATGGTTTCATTAATTAGACTTTAACCGTTTAAGATCATTATACATTTATGAAATATATTTTATGGGTATTTTAAAATAAATAAGGATTTTTTTAAAAATCCATCCAAGCTTCTGCTACAGGATAAAAGTAAATACAATAATGATAAGTGCCATTCAACTATAATGAAATGAAAACTTTCTTGACTAACGCCTGCACATTAGTTATAATTTGTGGTTGAAGACTTTGGATGAAATTGTCAAAACAGAAAGAGAATCCCTGTATTTTAACTGTTAATAAAATTGCTTAGATTAATAAAAATCATAACAGTATTTTAAACGATATGTTCAACCATAAAAGTCAGTGCATTAAGTGACAAAACCGTTATGCAGATTAAATTTAGGTAGAATAAGTTAATCATTAAATAGAATTTCATTTATCATCCCTTTCTAAAATATACTGATTACATAATTGATAGATTTACAGAAAAACATGAAATGTTACTAGAACATAAATCAACATCCATTTGCTTCCAGTTTAATATAAATCTTACCTTGGGATTTAGTCAACATATGAATGCTAATTAGTAATTTGAATGATTTTTTAATTACATTCATTCAAAATTACATCGTATGCTTACTTATTGTAACAATCCATTTTTGATATACATTTACACACATATATATTATGGTTTACCTGTTAAAGAACTTTTCAAAATGCTTCTGTCATTGTACGTTCGCCAAGTATTGGCATAGTCTACAAGTCAAATACTATTTGAAGGGATTCAAATGTCTTGATTACAATAATTTTGTTTTATAATATGGAAAAAAATGAAGGGAAAAACTGAACTTTTTAATTTTTCAAATGAAAAGAAAATAAATAAATAAAATTTAATAAATAAAATGCGAATTAGTTGGCCAGTAAAGAAGAACATAAAAACATTTGATGAGTATAAAACATTTTTGAATACCAAAGCAAAAAGGAAATCTGCAGTTATTTCTATCATAGCTCTTTACTTTTCATGTATTGATTAAAGATATATTGGACATTAAATACAGATATAAAGCTTTAATATACATATATATTTATGTGAATATAAGCAATTACTATTTTAACAGAGATGAAATATAAATAGATATCATTGTTACACCATTATTTTGTTAATTAGCAATTAGATATGTTGTTTTTCAGTTTGAAATAGGATTAGTAAAAAAAGAAAGTACCATTTGATATGAAATGATAAACATTAATCTTTTATGTTTGATAATTATTTTTATTTTAAAACATTTAGAGCAAATTAAGTCAATTTTAAAAATATTTATATGCTTGTAATTGTCTAGAGCTTAAGCGCTCACGAGCGAGACTGATAGGTCCTGGGATCGTGGATGCGCACTGTTAAGGAGTCCCACAGTAGAATGAAATGACCGTCCAGTGCTTCTAGGTTTTCTATGGTGGTCTAGCTTCGATTGACTCATGATCTCAACTAATAAAATTACTATAATATCCACAAAACTCTTTGTGATACGAATTTAATTATCCTTGAATACATTGATGTCATTTGATTATAAAACATTAATTGTTTGGTTTCAATAGTTGAGATCATGAGTCAATTGAAGCTAGATCAACATGGGAAACCTGGGACTCCTCAGCAGTGCGTCTACGACCCCGTCTCGCGGGATTCGAACCCAGGACCTACCAGTCTCGCGCGCGAGCTCTTAACCACTAGACCGCTGAGCCGACATCCAGCAGTGTTAATGTCTAACTTCAACTAATCCACAAAATTGAGCGGCACATCCACCATTGTCATCAGTGAGTTACTACCTCACAACTGACCCTGTTGAACTCCACTGGTCACTGCTTCCCACTAGAACTCCAGGATATACTTTTTGAAGCCAGTCACTAGTGAGCATATGTTGATTAGTATCAGAAGGGGTTTTGCGGAGATTATAGTAATTTCATTTTGAAAGTATAACATCGAAAGATTTAATATAAGTGTGGCATGAAATGTTTGATTAAATGACACAGTGAATATTATTAAATCAATCATATTACTCTTCACAATGAATTACATTTAAAGTGACTCTATAAACAATCAGATGATAAAGTGAAATAAATTTTTATTATCCGTTTACATTGATTGTTTAGTTTCTTTTAAATTTGTAAATTAATACGTCTATTACTAAATTAACAGGTTAAATTACTTTAATGGGATAATAACTTTGTAGGTTCATTCATTCTTCCTTAAATCTTCAGTTTTAGAACTGTCCTTAATTTTTTATTACGTGACTTCATTCTTTTTTTCTAAAATCATATTGTCTATGCTCAATTTTCTTTACTACCATTGATACGGTTATTGTTTCTATTATCCTGACATTTATTTTCACAAATTCATCTCTCAGTGTTGATATAGTGTAATAATGTGAACTGATGCATATATATGTCAGGTCTATATTATTTATGAATGAATATAAAACAATAAATGAATCGTTAAAACTGAAATAACTTGTAATGTGAAATTCTAGTTTTTAAAATATTTGATGTAATTATGTACAACAGAGATTAGGAACAGTAAACAAATGTGTAAACTTACTACATGCGATCGATGCTCTTGGAATTGTCGATGATACAGGTATTGCTGAGATACATAAACAAATAATAATTAACTGTTAACTCAATGTAAATAAACAATCTAAGTGATTTTGTTTCAACTTAATCACAAATAAATATTGTCTTAGTAAGCATTGAACAAGATAGAATTATATACAAGTATATAGTTGTATTTTAGAAAAAAACGTTATGTTCTAAATAAATAAATAATATATTTGTAAAATCCCAATGAGTAGAAAATTAGATTTCCTGATGTTTCGCGGCTTAGTGTAAGCCACTTCTTCAGAGAATAAAAGAAGTGACTTACACTAAGCCACGAAACGTCAGGAAATCTACTTTTCTACTCATTGGGATTTTACAGATATGTCATTTATTTATAACAATCTACCCAATGCTCAATTTATTCGAAATTATTATGTTCTAAATGTTTATATATATATATATATATATATATATATATATATATATATATTCTTAAAATTAAATGTTTACTTTTTAATCATTCAGCTTCATTAAAATTATATTATTTTGAAATGCCTTTTTCACAACAAGCGTAAATTATGAAGTAAGCCCAGAGAAATGTGATTTTTTTTTCAAGCTACTTATTTTTGAGTCATGAATGAACACTTTTAAAGATAACTTGATACATTGTTTCAAAGATAAATTATGAGTGTGGATGTTTTTGATAATTCTTGCGGTTACTTTCATCAAATCATCTTGAACTGAAAACATTTAAATGTTCACATCTATAAATTGCACAGATCTACTATTATTTCAATCATGTATGTCAAGTTTGTTTAACAATAAATGTACTAAAATATTACACTATCAGACCATAGAAATATCAACAGTTTGGAAAGAGTCATTATCTATAATGTGCTAGAAATAATAATATGCCAAAACATAGATCTCATAGTATTTTCCTGTCAATGATGATTTAGTTAAAAATAATGAAAATAAAACTGAATAATCATTTAACATTTTAATATATATTAGTTCACATTTTGTAGTTTAAAATTACTTATAGTTATATGTTAACTATTGGGAAATAATTCTTAGAAGGTTGTAGACTTCTTATTTATAAAATTAACACTTATTTACAATAATTGGTTTCCATTTTGAATAAAGCAATTGAAAGTTCAGATTTTGGTTGACCGTCAGGTGTGTTGAAGCATATAAAACATTAAATGATAATTAGTGTTTTTTTTTTACTCTGATCCTTAGTGTTACACAAGTTTTATTTAGAAACCTATGTACTGTTGTCAGTAAGCTGTGGAATCGAACACCTCTGGAAGATTTTGCTAATGTTGTGTAATGAAGGATACTATTAAGGTTATTTAAATAGTGACAATTTAAAAATTATGAATGTCAGTTGTTTGAAATAACTTATTGTGTTTTGTATAACTTCTTTTAATCTGCTTGTGTTTTACAAGAGTTTTATTAGCCAGTGCTTGCTAAATAGTTGGTATAATTTTCAAGAAAATGGATCGCCGTCACTAGAATTTAGAGACTATGTTATATAATGCAATTAAATTACACACACAAAAAAGGGAGATTACAAATAATTCTTATGGAAAATTCTTTCAGTTCAAATGCTAAGCAATGTATGAATACAAACAACAAATAATACAAACACAGGATAAATTGTTTTCACGTCAATTATTCTCACTACTATAATACTTTGGTGCTTTTCCCTAAACTATTGATAGACGTCTAGTCGATTTCTACTGATCATCACCAAAGAATAAACAGCATAATATTAATTACTATTTGGTGGCGAACCAAGTGCAAATAGAAAATCAGTCAAGGCATAATTAGTGTACGGATTCCATTTCGCGGCTATAATACTGTATGACACGGATTTCAAACTCTGGGGATTATCAGTTTTCTGAAGTACATAAACACATTCTGCCAATGAATCTATCTAACATCAAACCTAGGTTCAGAACTTAATAATGAAATGCGTAAATTGGCTATACATTAAATGATATATATATATATATATATATATATATAGCCAATTGAGTAGAAACTGAAGTATTATTCTCACTTCTGTTTCATAAATCATACGACAGAGCATCTAGTCATTATTATAGTGATAATGAAGACACCTATACTTCAATACCAGTCATTCTTTGTTGTCATTGCGGAATAAAATCAGTTCTTTTATTAGTTTGTTCAGTTAGTTTATTTGGTAAGTGAAATATTGTGTAACTCAAGTAAAATCAAACAAACAGTTGAACTAAATTTTTAGATTGAAAAAATAACTTCATAACATAATCCAATGTTTGTAAATATTGAAGGCTTTTATACAACAAAACTTCTGAATAGATTAAACAAAGAACAAAGTAATTAACTTTGAACATTGATGTATATATATTTAAAGATTTGTAGTGACACCCTTACGATTAATTTTGATAACGGTCAAGCACTTTAATCTGACGGACAACTTTATAGATATAGTAATAAGTCGTTTATTTCTTTGTATTAGCAGGACCGCTATGATACCTACGCAAACGTATATTTCTGTCTGAGTCAAATATTGATCGCTTAAATATAACTCGATGTATAATTCTCCATCCCTCATATAGATGCACTTACTTACTTACGCCTGTTACCCTTCGTGGAGGAGCATAGGCCGATCACCAGCGATCTCCATCAAACTCTTTTCTGAGCAATTCTTTCAAGTCACTGGTCATCCTATTCACGTCTGCTTCAAATTCCAAACGCAGTGTTTTTTTGACCTTTCTCTTTTCCGTTTCTCTTCAGGATTCCAAGTTATGGCTTACCTCGTGATGCAGTTTGATGATTTCCTCGATGTGTCCTATCCACTTCCAACGTCTTTTCCAGATTTCCACCTCAGTTGGAAGTTGCTTTGTTCTCTCCCATAGTAGGCTGTTGCTGATCGTATCCGACCAAAGCACATTCGGTATCTTGCGTAGAAAATTGTTTAGAAATACTTCTGCTATTTTGATGATGCTTGTAGTAGTTCTCCAAGTTTCAGTTCTGTACAGTAGAACTATCCTGACGTTCGTATTGAAGATTCTGACTTATTATTTGTTGACAGTTGTTTTGAAATCCATGTGTTCTTCAAGTTAAGAAATGCTATCCTTGCTTTACCAATCCTCGCCTTTAAGTTTGCATCATATCCTTCTTGTTCATCAATGAAGCTTCAAAGGTAAGTGAAAGATTCCACCTATTTCAGAGCTTCTCCATGAAGTGAGATTGAGCTGGTGTTCTCTGTGTTGCATTTGAGGATCTAACTCTTTTTCTTGTGTATGTTGAGGTCTACTGCTTCAGAGGCTGCTACTACATTGGTTGTCTTGACCATTATTAATTGATGTACATGGGATGGAAGTGCTAGGTGGTCTACAAAGTCCAAATAGTCCAGTTGCATCCAAGTTTTCGATTGTATTCCGTGCTTTCCCTCAAATGTCGGTCTTCATAATCCAGTCAACTAGAGAAAGAGTGAAAGTAAGCAGATTTGTCTGAATCCGGTCCATACTTGAAATGAGTTTGTCTGCTATCCTTCATACACGACTTTGAACTGTAGTCCATAGTATGCATTCCGGATGATGTTAACGATTTTCTCAGCTACTCACTCCATAGTGTCGAAGAAGTTTCCATAATATTCTTCTAACTACACCGTCAAACGCCTTCTCACAGTCAGGGAAGTTGATCTATAATGACGAATTCCATTCAGTTAACTGTTCAACGATGATCCGTAGTGTCGCGATTTGGTTTGTGCACGACCGATCTTTACGGAATCCAACCTGTTGATCTAGAAGTTTTGTGTCTACTGAGTCTTTCCTGGTACTTACAGTAATGTGATGCCTCCGTAGTTTTCACATTTGCTCAGACCTCCTTTCCTTCTGATCTTGATGAGGTATCCTTCTTTTCAATCTGTCAGTGGCACTTGTTCTTCCTACCAAATAGAAAGTGAGAGTACCTTTGCAGTTATTTCTATATGTGACTTCAGTAATTCGGCCTGTATATTCTCAAATACTGCTGTTTTCCTACTCAAGAACTGTCTAGTGGTCGGCCATCCTGATTCCTTCGGTCGCTGGTGGAGTGAGATTTATAGGAAGCGCTGTGTCTGCTGCTTCAATATCCGAATGATTCAGGGGAGTTGACCTATTCAGGAAGTGTTCAAATTGCTCTACCCATCTGTTCATCTGTTCACAAATTGGCTTATTTATTCGTTCTTGACTGATCACTCTGCTATACGATATTTGCCTGCTAGATTATTCGTTGTGTCATATAGTTGATTCACATTTCCTTGTGTAGCACCTCTTTCCATAGTCGTTCCTAGGTCTTCCACGTATTTCTGCTTGTTTTCTCTATAATGTTCTTCTCCACTAGCTTATCTGCCCCTGTGTATTCAGCTTGTGCCATGACTTTCTTTGTCCTTGCCTGGTTGTTGTTAATTGCCGCATCCATATTCTCCTTCCTTTCTTGAATCTTGTCTAGGGTTTCCATAGAGATCCATTCTTCATGATGATGCTTCTTGCGAGCCGTAATCTCCTGACACGTTGAAGTTAGTGCTTGTTTGATCTCTTCCCAGTCGCCCTCCATAGTATTTTCCGCTTCTTTCAGTAGCTCTTGTAAGTCTGGGAACCTGTTGTTGAGAGTTATCTTGAATTGGTTGAGTTTGTCAGTATGTCGAAGCAAGTCTGTATCGAAACTTTGTAATGCTGTTTGTCCGGTTGTACAATGTTTCTTTAGCTTCAGTTTCATGTTGGCAACCACCAGTCGATGATAATCTGAAGCCATTTCAGCTCCTCTCCTCATCCTCATACCTCTCATTGTCCTTCTGAATATTTTATTGATACAATTATGATCTATATGGTTCTCCGTGATGTGGTCCGGTGAGACCCATGTAGTTTTGTGTATACGTTTGTGTGAAAATATTGAGCCACCTGCAACCACTTTGTGGAATGCACATTGATTTGAAAATCTCTTGCCATTCTCGTTCTTTTCTCCCAATCTATGTCGTTGCACCATATCTTCATAACCGTTGTCGTCCATTCCGACTTTGGCTTTTAGGTCTCCCATTAGGATGGTGAGATCCATTCGTGGGCACTTCGCTATGATTGATTGCAGCTTCTCGTAGAAGTGATCTTCATTGTTGTCATTGATATCATTGGAAGGTGCATAACTTTGAAAAACGTTCATTGTTATTTCCTCCTACTTTGTTCTGTAGGATGCTTTGATGATCCTGGATCCATGAGATTCCCATCCCATAAGTGCAATTAGTGATTCTTTGGCCGGCATCAGAACAACTCCTTGAGTGTATGGAACATTTTCTTCATCGTGACCGGAGTACAGCAGCATCCCTGCCGTATCTAACCTTTGCTCTCCGGACGTTCTATGTACCTTTCAAAATTGTTGTTCTAGTTGTTAGAAAGGGCGTCGGATTCGAGACTTCGTAAGAATCTCTACTTTCATCATGAGGCGTCATAATACTTTCTTGAATTTGAAGGACATAGTTTACATGGCTTAAATTGTTTATTCTGGTTAGAGTTTTTTTAGCAAGGTTGTTTTCTACGGGATGAGGTTGCCGACTACACGCCCAACCCTCCACCATAACGCGGACATGGGACCGGCAGTAGCTCTAGAAGAGCTACAAGTGGAGTTCTCATATATATGTGCCCGTATTATAAAAACAAACTGTACTTTGATTCTCCATGACATTATTTTTTGTGACAATAAACCTGTCTCTATATTTGCTTGCAACTATTCATTAGCTTTTCTGCTTCAAATCCGCTTGATGTGTCTGTCATGCCGTGGTCGGCACGACCAGATACTGAGTTGTAATCGCAGCTTTATATCGCCTTCTGAATTCCGTCCCATGGGGTCCCCGTAATAGCAGTTATCAGGATGAACGTTCAACGAAACTACGCTCATTACAGTTTTCATAGTGTACGAGTTGATTTCAGCTAAACTAAGTAGGTCAATTACAATGTGTACGAGTGGAACAAGTTCAAAATTTCCGAGGGTACCACGAATTTTATTGAGTTTAAAAGTAATCGAATTATGATTGCCTTTAAAATCTTTCAAATATATAAACTGAATGATTCAGTCCCATCCAAGCAACCAAAACCTCTATTGATTTTTTTCGTGAGTCGCTATTTACTTTAGAACAATGACTTAATAAAATTTATCCTTATTGTTTTGCAACTAAACATCACTAAACTTATGATTAGCGATCATGAATATATGTATAATAAACTAGAGCTTATGAATCTTTGCTAAACAAATGATAGAAACAAAAAAATTGGAAGTTACATTACTTACGTCCAGCTGATGTAACCGGCGTATTCAAATATGGTGTTGCACGTGGACTGTTTCTTGGAGGAAGGGCTGATTTAGATATAAAATAAAAAATCCAAACATTTTTGAGCAGATACATTATTTTAATCAATAGCTAATTTCGTAAACCTTTTTATCAAGTTCTTATTTCAATAAAATAAAATTCAACTAAAAAAACTGATAATATAGCCAGATAATTATGATATTCATGGAAATTTAGTTGAAATTAAACATAACAGGGAGTTAATTCATAACTTTTACTGATTCACACAGTTCTTTTAATTTTGAATTATATATATAATACCTCTGAACTAATTAGCAGTATAACAACAAGATTCAAATATAACAAGAAATAACCGACCTACAGATTAGTATAGTAAGAAAATTGTTTATATTGCCTAAAGGAAATGTTTAATTTCGAAGATATGCTCCACTGAGCCGATAGTTCTCTTATCATTGGTTTGATGATTCATTTACTGATTGGCCAGGGTAGCAAAGATGTTAAAATAAACCGTTTAGTGTGTAATCAAACTTTTTAGATAGCGAATGAATAGAAAAAAAAACAGATTAACAAGTGGAACAAACTGACCTCCAGATCCGGATGCATTCTGTACTGAATATCTCCTTTTTTCTGATGACAATGCTGTAATATAAAATACCTGATAAGTGAATAATGAAAATTCTTTTAAAACGTAAACAAATATGTTATAGAGCTGTTTATTTGTTGATTTGTTTCGGAATATCGCCTTATCGTCTTCAGACATAATTTGATAATAAATACATTTTAAATCATTTTGTGATTGAGAGGCAAAGATAAATTGAGAAAAAAAATAAGGTATTCCATCCAATTGTTAACCTCACATTTAACCTGCTTTATAGTACGTTTCCTTTTGTAAAAACGTTTTATACCCATGCAAGTCGTGGTATAAAGCATTTGATTAACTAAAAATAATCTGTGTAGCTAATATAATCATTCATACTGTGGGAGTAAATTATTGCTTTCTTGCTAAGCAAATCAGCCAATAGGTTTTCTGTTAACAGTTAACATCTAATATTGTTTAGATACGTTTAAAATCATGTTTACAAGTTATATTAAAAGTCTTAAAAAATAAAATACATGAAGATTATTAAAAAAGCAAGTAAAATTATAATTCTATATATAAAAAAGACTGTTTATAAGAATCATTACCAAAGTTTGACTTGATGTACTCAAATAACCAGAACATGAAGTAGATTATTTATAATAAAAAAAAGTTGTTATATTCCAGTGAGTAGAGAATTGAATTTCTGACGTTACACTACTTAGATTAAATTGTTCTTTCAGAGAATAAATAATTAAAATAAATTAACACCATTTTAATTGGTATAGACGAACAAATCAAAATACAAATTTGATCATTTTTATGTGAAATTATTCAAGTCAAATGGGAGATATGTATATTTATTTATGTACGGCCAAGAGTGGAGAGAGTTAGCTCTCCCTTTCGAAACGCTTTCACATGGCCACGTGCATACAACAACTACTAGGGAAGTCCCACTCACTGCCTTCTCGCAGAAGGGGTGTTGTTTACGAAATTGAGAGGATGAAAAGCGAATGTCTGGCACTTTACCCGGATTGGTGGACACGAAGGATCCACCTAGAGGAGTTGGAAAACCCTGATCCCAAACCAATGGTGCATATGAGTTACATGATCCTAAGGGAGCAAAAGGCCTATGAACCTATTGTTGGTCACCGGCTACCATGGGTTTGTATCTCCTTATTTTGCTCCACTGCCTTGTAGATTATACGTTTTAATCAAAGGCTCCGGTTGTGGCCCCTTTAGAAAACAATCTGTCTCGGCCTAAGCACTTGGGTAGTATCACAGCCCACACACAAATAAAATGAAATGACGATAATTACTGAAAACAATATTTTCGCCTCGATTAAAACTCAGACAATTCCCATTCATTTTTCTTTTTTCTGTATACTACTTTCATTCATTTCCACTTTGTGCATCCTTATTTTTCGGCTTAAACAGAAGCTCGCCTATGGTGGAAACCCTGTCCTATCTAAACGATCTCGAGTTACTGACCGGTCGAAAGTTGGATGCTACCACCGACTACGAATACCAAGTCTTTCTGAAACCACGTATATCACACAAACTGGCCTCCTTCAACGTTCGCACACTAATGGAGATCGGACAACACATAGGGCTGGCTGTCTTTAGAAAGTTTTAATATCGATATCTGTTGTCTAGCTTCAGCGAAAAACTCTTCAATATCAATGTCTTACTCAGCAGCTTCATGTCTTATTTAAAAGCATCTTTAGTGCATATTTGATTAGTTCTGTTAAAGAGGCACTTTGCAAAGCCTTAGTTGTATTCTAGGAAACACAAACCTATATGTTTTACTTAGAAGGGATAACTTTATTTGTAGTCACATTTAATCATAACAAGTGCATTAGAACCTTTATCAGATTTAAGGATCCCAATATCTGGTCTATTCTGCGGGTATTTTAAAGTATTTGAATGTTTAGCAGCCCGGATATCACTGTTTTATTTTTGAAGCATAAAAACAGAGCGATATCGAGTAATTTTGTGCTCAGGAAATTCTGCTTTACCTGTGTGTTCGGAGCAAGAACGCTAACTTAGTCACAGAGATTTTTTGATTCATCATCATTCTTGGTATGAGTTACTTATCTTGATTCACAACCCCGAAAATGCGTCTTAACTGGCATTTAGAGACTTCTGATTAAATACTTTGTGGAAAGGAGTAGCGAACTGAGGTTACTGAGATAATCGTAGGGCTTATATGCAGATATCTCCGATTTGCATAAATTGGACCAGTTCTTAAATACAGAACAATAATTTCACAGGGATACACTAAGTTTATGTTATCTGTTGATTATTTAAGCTCACAAACGTTTATTAACTTAATTATTTGATGGGTAAATGACGCGCAATCACCACAGTACTGTATCTGTCGTTATCTCTTCGATTCCATTCATATGGAAATCAATGAAATTACGCAAAATGTGTTGTTATTTTCTAGAAATTAAGGACCTGAGCTTGGAAACCTTTGAAAATTAGGAAACATTCAATAATTCCTCAATGGTGCACGATTACGAACGACCGTCCAGCCCTTCTATGTTTTCAGTAGTAGTATAGCTAAGATTAGGTCATGATCGAAATTGTGAAAATTCTACAATCACCAAAAATCTTGTATACTAATTTAGATTTCGTTAGAGAAAATTGTGACAAGTAAGAGCGGTGAAATGTTTTCAGCAAACTTAAAACAACATGTATGTGAGGTTGGTTAGTTATCTGACTGTCGTTTATTGGCATCTTCTATTTTTAATTACAATTTGGATGTTGATACGTCTTATCATTTTGGTACCTCCAGCATTAATAATCTCCGAGGTCATACTAAGAAGGTTCACAACCCGCGATCTAATGAACTTGAAGTGGGGTTCCGTCCCAGTCAATTACTGGGACGCCTTACCCGAACAAGTGGAATCAGCCCCATCAGTAAACATTTTCGAGAAGCTGGACCTTCACTAGAAGGTAAACTGTCAGGATTAACACAGGTCCACCAGCCTACTATCTTTATTACTGGAGACTGAAGACTGACTGATCTTTTTGTCAACAGCAAAACAGCGAGTTCGATATACACGATGAAGGGAAACGATTATATGTGAAATGTTATCTTTTCTCAGAAATGAATGAACAATGTCTATGCTTAAAAATATTGCCAGTTTCCATGTGAGTAATTGCTCAGATCGAAATAAATATCTTTAAAATATTGCCAACAAAGCTTGAATTTGTGTGGTTACGTAGTAGGTTAGTTAAGCAACTTTCTTCCCAAAAGTAAACAAATGTAATTCATTACATCAAGATACGTAAATAAACAATATTTAATTTACATAAGTGACAAACCTGTATCCTTGAATACGGCTGCAGATAATTGGTGGGGAAGAGTTTAAAAAGGAAAAAGGATAAGAGTAAATTAGTGTTTCAATTTATTCACTAATGTAATAATACATAATAGCTAGTTTTAATCAAATAACAGAAATAAAACTCATAAAATCAATACGCGATTTTTACTAAAGTGTTCCTCTAAGTGCTGTTGTTTATCACCAAATCAGTGAATAGATTCAATTAAAAGTACACAGTAAACTTGAATTCAGTAAAGTGTGTGAAAGGAAAAAAAATATTAAATTAGAAATATTCTCATTTCTCTAATACACCGTATTGTTTTTAACTGTAATCTAAAATTTAAAAAAACTATACTTAAACAAATGTTAAAAATTAACTCTACTTAAAGTGTGTATTAGATTTAGTTAACTTATCTAACTGATAAAGTTTATAAAAGATAACACTTTCTAAAAGTCTGTTGGCATAAACAAATTGATTAATGATAACAGATGCAAAAAAATGGATAAATGTAGTTGTCTAAGAAAAAAACCCTTTTTAATAACTGTTGGATACCGGCTCAGTGGTCTAGAAGTTAAGTGTCCACGTGCCAGACCGATGGGTCTTGAATTCAGATCTGGCGGGGAAGGGTGCTCACTACTGAGGAGTTTCATACTAGTACGAAACGGCCGTCGAATGTTTCCAGAGTTCTCATGGTTGTCTAGCTTTAATTGACTTATGAATTCAACTATTAAATATATATTTGTTTACACAAATTTCTGCAAACTGTCAACCACTTATTTAAACACGTAGATGAGTGTAATAGTGCAACCTTATTTTGATTGTGTTCAGTTTAAAGTTATTAAAACAAAAGTTAATATTGGAATAATGTTATACACAGATAATTATACTGAACAAAACAACAAACATAAAATATACACAATGTAATAATTTGAATTTATAATATTAATACTTGACAACATTTTACAAATGCCCATGTGAATATGAAATTAAATGAATCTTATAAAAAGTAAATGGTTTGAGCAAATCTTTAATGTTTCATAAAGAAATTGAAGATTGAAAAAAAAATGTAAAATTTCATAAATCCATAAGGTTAATTCATGAAAATTTTAGTGCTATTTTATTTATTTGATAAGTTGGTAACATGCAAAGTTTACTTTAATAAATCAATTTATTATTAAATTATTTACTTACATAATCTACCAATGACTTTAGGTAGTGGCTTTTGACCTTGTGATAATTCTTCAGTGCTAGAGATTTCAGATGGTTTACGTGATTGTGCCAACGCTTTTTGTAGAGAAATATATATATATATATATATATATATATATATATATATAATGGTTATAAGTTATTATTCATATATGAAATTTCAAGTTTCAAAGACGAAAAAAAGATTGTATGACTGATAACTGATTGAACTACAAAACAGCAAGTAATTTTTTTTACATAAAATTGAAAAAAATTGCTAATAGTAACTTAGCAAACTGACTACTATGCTGAATATAAGACCTAGAACTTTTGAATACGAATACCTTTGAAGTCACAGACGTACTGTCGTTAATTTTTGGAAGAGAAACACAGTTTGTAGAAGGGTGAAGGATAATAGAGTATGAAAAGCATATTTTAGGACAGATATGTGTAAACTGCAGATATAAGTCAAAATTTAACCCGACACTGGATTTTATAGGAAATGTGCATTCATATGAAGATATGAGATAATTCAAGATTAATGTCAGGAGATGGGATTATTTATATCAAAAGCTTGAACAGTGGCTTTTCAAACTCAAATTCATTTATATGTAACCAACTTCACACGTTTGACAGACCTCACTTTCCAATATTAAGTCTATAAAAAGTCTTCCGTAAATCTGACGAAGAATGTATTTGCCATGTTTTAGCACTAAGTACTTTAGTTTAATGATATTTCAAAGAACTAAACGCTTCGGATCACAGTTTTATTTGTTGATTGATCCAATAATTCTAAGAATAGAGTAGCTAATCATGATATATTAATGGGAGTAATAAGCCTCCAAGAAGGAAATGCTACAAATGCTATTGACTATATCCTAGACACTATTCGAAAG